GTTAGTTATTAAATTTAATCTATCATATAAAATTAAATTTAAAACTAATATAACATAATATAATATAATATATATCACATATACATATTATATTATATTATATATATATATATGAATATATATATATATATATGTATATACATATATATATATTTCAAATATATATATTATATATTTAATTTTATATATCATACACATATACATATATATAAAGCCCTGTAATCTTAGAGGCAAGACACACTTGAGCAATAAGCAGCCAAGTATTCTACGTTCAATTCTTTCTTGTAATCTTAAGTTTAGAATTCTCTGATCTCTTCTTACTATCAATAACAGTATTTATTTCAATTATTTCAACTTTTGCAATTATTAAAGAGTAACAGGTATGTCTGAGTAATTTTTTTTTTAGAGATTAAAGGGGATTATTATCTGATCCTTAAAAAAATTTTGATTTCCGCAATGATCCTATAAAAGAAATTACTGGTTGTGTGTTACTATGGTTACGCCTCCAATAAGAAAAGAAGGAAGGCTATGCTGTATTGGTCTAAAGGATGTGATTCTGTAAAAGGTTTATAGCCAAGATTAAGAGACTCCTGGCTTGTTAATCTCAATATGAAAGAGGACTGAGAGCCTTTCATGTTCTACTATAATCTGGATCAGTATCGGTCAAACTCTATAGCAATACATAGCCAGCTATCTCTGTTATGGTATCAGAGCAGAAGGTCATTATGATGTTAAGAAGAAGATAATATGAACTTCTTAATTCCTAAAGTTTATTATTGTTTTACTCAGTTACCTGTTTTTTGCTTTCCCTACCTGTTTATCTATTTTGTTTAACTGTAGTTTTAAACATTCTGATATTTGAATAGTTAGCTAATGGTATTGCAATTGGGAAAAAAGTTGTTAAAGTAGTTGATCTATGTTATCTCACTTTTTTAGTTGGTTAATAGAACAAGATTTAGAAATATAGAAACAAGAATAGGAATAATTTTAGCAATTAACGAATATATAGGAAGAGAAACTAGAATATATTATACAACACTAGTAAGAGAAAGAAACACTAGAAGATTTCTAATATTCCTAAGTATTTGTTTTGCAATTATAGAAACATTAGAAAGAATTCCACAATATATCGAGTCTTTATTTGGTGTTACTCAACAATAGCTGAAATAACTCCTGATAAATTTTATCCTCTAATTAATCTAATTAAATTTGAGACAACAAGAAGACCATTTGAGTGTGACCAAAAAGAAAAAGAAGACATTATAAATGATGAAGACCTCAAATATAAAATCTCCATTATCAGAGCACAGGAAGTAAACATTATTTTTCAAGAACTCAATAAGACAACAATTGTAGATGAAGCTCAGTGGACATATTTCACTGGACTCACAATATGTATATTCTCAGTAGGAAGAAATAGCAGAAACTCTAGGAACTTTAATAATTGGTATGAAAGATTAAGAAATAATCAAATGAAAAATGATGAAGAGACAAAAAGAAAATATGTCAAGTATTATTTGAATTGCAATCCACAAATACAAGTATTGTGAAGAAAGAAGACAAATTGATAAGGACTATGAAGACCCTTCTATCAATATGAATATTATGGATTAGCTTGCCAACAAGTAAAAAGACAAAAGTAGTTGCCAACTTTTGAAGAAAAGTAAGTGGCAGAGAAAGAAAAATTTTAGTCGAAAGTAGCCGAAAGTAACCGAAAGAAGATGACAAGACAAGAAGATGACCAATAGAGACAAAAGAATATATTGACTTCAAAGAAAAGCTATAATTATTATTACTTTAATTTTAATTCTATTAGAAATCATTACTACTTTGTAGTTAAGTTTTATCTTTAATTAACTTTTGATGATTACAAGATGACAAACCTACTTTTGACTAAATGAAAAAGTAAAGAAATAATTACAATGATTATAAAAGACAAAATAACTTTTGGCTTCTTTTTGACTTTATTTTTTACTTTGTCTGCCACCCTACTTTTCTTTAAGAGTTAGCAATTACTTTTGTCTTGTGAGCTATTTTTCTACCATCTTCTTGTCTTTACATGTCAGCAGGGTTATTCCAAAATATTCATATTGATGGATGGATAGTCTTTATCAGCTTTCTTTATAATACTTGCATTTTTGGATTGCACTATAGTTAATGGAAGATAAAAAGTAACTTTGATTATTGCAAGATGACAAACCTACTTTTGACTAAATGGAAAAGTAAAGAAATACTTATAATGATTACAAGAGACAAAATGACTTTCGGATTCTTTTTTACTTTATTTTTCACTTTGTCTGCCACCCAACTTTTCTTCAAGAGTTGGCAATTGCTTTTGTCTTGTCACCTACTTTTCTACCATCTTCTTCTTATCTTTACATGTCGGCAAGGCTATTCCAGAATATTCATGTTGATAGATGGATTGTTAATGTTGATTCTATAAGGTGTTTCTTTTCCAATATTACAAGCATATTTTTCTTGTTTCTTAGATTTTACAAGTTTTCCTACTTTATTCATAAAACTTTCATTTTTTAATTCTTCAGGTTTTAAATTTAATCTTGAATCTCTTATTTTTATCATATTTTTTAATTAAAAGTCATTCTTTTTTGAACTATTCCTTCTTCTGCATTTACAACTTCTTTATATTCATCATATTCATTATTATTACTTTCAGGTTCATCTTCTAACCTATTCATCATATACATATAACTTATTTCTTTTTCAGATTCACTATTTTTAGTTTCATTTTCACTAATTATCTTTGTTTATAAATTTTTGTATCTGATTTTTCTAATTCATTTTCTATTTTAGATAATTTTTATCATATCCTATAGGTTCTAAATTTTCCTTATAAGCTTCTTCCATTATTTTTATTATTTTCTTGTCTTTTTTACTTGGACAATTAGGTGATATGTGTCCTAATTTCCCACAATTGTAACATTTATATTTCTTAGGTTTTTTATTATAATTTATTTTTCTTTTTCCTTTCTCTTAAAGAACTTTCTTGGTTTGTATTTTCTATATTATTTATAATATTTTTCTTTTGGATATTTTCTAAATTTTATTTTTAATCTTCTTTTCTTTCTTCTCCTTTCATATTTTTTTAGTTTACATCCCCATTTATGTCCTTTCATTACTTCTCCACATCTTAAAATTATTTTATTTGTTTTATAATATTTCATATTTCTCCATGTAGTTCTACATTTATCAACTATATACTTTTTAAAAATAATTCTCTTCTTCCCATAGTGTCTACTTTATTTAAAACATTATTGGGTCATGTCTTAAATCATCTATTATTTCTTCTCCTGTTGAGGTTATTTGATAAGTATTATAATAATCATCAAATATTGTGTCTGATAATAATTTAGATAGTTTTCTATAAAATAGATCTAAATAAAATCTATCTTCTTTTAAGTCTGCTAATCTTGCTTTACAATATTTTTTATATTTACATATAAATGCATTTAAATATTGTGATTTTAAAGAACATAATTCTATTTCATATAATATTTTTATTGCATCTTTTTTCTTTGTTACTTCATTTATATATTGTGTTATTCTTGTAAATTCATTTCTTAAAGCTTTTTGATATTTTTCTATAATCATAGTATAATATTCTTTTCTATTTCCATAACTCTTTTTTGGTTTTCTAAAATCTTCTCTAAATTCTTGTGATTTACTTCTCCACCAATTTTGTACATTTTTTAGAAATGTTGCTGCTATTAACATAGTTGCAATATGTATATTTACATTTTTTTCCTGTTAATGTTATTAATGATGCTTTTCCCCATTCTTCTATTGTAACACTTGCCTCGAGTATTATCCAAAAATTACATAATTCAAATAAACTAAGTGTGGTTAAGAAGTTGATCCTCTAACAAACTTAAGAAATAAATCATTTAAATCCTTAAAAAAATTTATAGGTTCTACCTATAGCACACGAAAGCAAGCTAGATGAAAGTAGAATAAAAAGATGTTATCATGACAGTAATTTATTGCTGTCATGACAGCCCTCCTGGACCAACTTCCAGGAGGTTTCGTTCCATCATTTGACCTCCAATTGAAGTGATTTTAAAGCTCACACATCACATTCAAAGGGTACTATAAGTGTATCAAATTTCATAAAGATCCAACGGTCAGATTAAAAATTAGACATGTTAAAAGATTGGCTATTTTTGCTGTCAGCACCTCCGGACTAACTTCTGGAGTGCACCATTTCATCATCTGACCTTCGATCAGAGTGATTCCAAATCCTACATGTCACTTTTAAATAGTAATATTAGCATACTAAATTTTAAAAAGATCCAATGAACGGATTAAATTTCGTGCATGTTGCAACATTATCAATTATTGCTGTCATGACAGCTCCTCTAGACCAAATTTCGGAGTGTGCTATTTCTCTGTCCAATATCCGATCAACATGATTCTAAAGCCCACACGAAGCTTATAAAAGGTTTTACTTGTGACCTAAATTTTAGAGAAATCTAACGGTCAAATTAAGATTTGGACACCCGGATGTAAAAGTGCAGGTTTTTAGTAAAAACCATTTTCAAAATTGTCCAAATCTCATCCTAATGGTCACAAACTTATGAGAACACTTTGGACACATCAAATAGGACTAAAAACACCTTATATAACATTTAAATGGTAGAAAAATCCTTCATACCAAAATTTGACCACTCAGGTGCCATTTCCCAAAATGGTCCCTAAACCCCCAAAATGCAAAAATCACACAAGAGTGGCCAAAAACTATTCTAAATATCATATACACATATGAATACACACGCTAAATATTTTCACTTAGCTCAAAGATCTTTGTGGGGCCCATGCACCCACTCTCTTTATCCAAGGTATATGTTTGCCCATAACACACCATTGCAATGCAACTATTTTACATTTGCTTGTGGAATCACATATATATCAAAATAAATATTTGTTTGTAGTGGAAACTTGATCTACTAAATAAATCCATCAAAACCACATACCATAGCCAAGTTTTCAAGCCATAAGTCTACAAGCAATCAAAAATTCATACACAAGCCATACAATTCACACATACTCACGCACATATACATAATCATATCCTACTGGCACCCTAATCTTAAATACATTACAATAGATTTGCACAAAAGAAAGGGGTTGTAGTTCTTTATAATTCACAAACAACCCCTAGCTCTGCTCCTTTCCCCATCCTCCACTGGTTCCTTCGCCTGGACCTAGAATATTGAAAAGAAAGGGGTGAGACAACCACAGTCTCAGTAACAGAGAAATTTACATTGATTATTACAAAGCAAGCCATAATCGAATAAACGAATAATAAATTCAACATAGTATAATTTAGCCATTTAAAATGCATTCTGACCTAGGCCGGTATGGCCTTTTATGATCAACAGAATGCCCCCTGGCACTCTTTAACTTGCAGGTAAACCTTATACCTACTTGTACCTCCACAGGCACAAAACATAATTTAAGGCATGATCTAATTCACCAAACTGCCTATGCCCCTTCGATGTGAATCCTGAGCAGTCAAAGCTAACTTTCTCCTAGAGCCAGCCCGACTTACTCTCTATGTGAGGGCTACCTTGGCCTAGGCACTCAACCTCACACTTCATATGTCGGATTCCCTCCCCCATTGAGAGGTGTCAAACACTCAATACACTAACCAATTTAGTGCACCAAGCCCATAATACGTAAGGCAACACTGAGTACTGGCAGTGTGCCATAGAATATCAAAAGTCCACACCTTCTCATTGGTGAACTCCCACCAAGATCATGCCTTTTATTTGTGTCTACCTTTCCCGAGTATTGACCACTTCAACACTCTAAGGTAGTATAACATTTATAAATCTCTCTTAAATGGTTCCTTAGCCTATCTAAGGTACCTTACTTAGTTACACTTCCTTAAGTGCAACTTCTATTCCTTATGATTAAAATACATGTAAACAAATCTCGTTTCCATAAAAACATTGTTGTTAAACAATTAGAAAACATATTTGCACTATAATCCAAGTAGTACCCCATAACCCCTATAAAGAACATTTAATCTTTTAAAAAATGTAATGCATGATAGCTAGTTATTCAAAAATAGCTAAAACAAAGTAATTAAAAATATAAATTCTCCTGTTACCTCAACCCTTTGGTACCAAAAGGGTTCTTCTTGTACAAAATAGGGCTCGGCTTATTCCTTAACTTCCGAACAAATTCCACCAACAATTCCTACAACATATAAGTCAACATATAAGTGATCCACATCACTTATCATGTCAAATAGCATTAATGAAAACTATAACTCATACCACACAACTTGGGTCTACGAGTCATAATCCATCTCAATGGTCCATTTATTAAACCAACCATTCACATAGTATCACTTAACCACCAAAACCATTTATTAGCCATTACTAGGCTAATTTTCAATTTATATAATTTTTAATCAATTAAAAACCTTCACTTAGTGTCACCAACTTTCACCATTAGCTCTTATAATGAAAACCAAACCTTAATTTAAATCTTATTGGGCTCAAATAGCAAAATTATAACTAAATCAATAGGCTTAAACCATTGAGGAGCAAAACTTAATCTCTCAGGGTTTAATTTGTGCTCAAAACACCTCTTTTCATCTAATTATCCACTCAAAATATTAGATCACTATATAGAAATTCAAAACATTCTCCCTAAGATCCAAAGAAATAAAAGCTTACAAGAATAAAGCCTTTGGGATCAAAATCCACAATTTCTCTTCCAAAAATTGAGAAAAACAAAGAGGAAGGGAAGAGGATTGAAGTAGGGAGTTTACCTATCGCGTAGCCGAGCTCGCAACGGCCGCAAAGTTTCCTGGATCCGAGCCTAACTCCCTCTCTTTCTCCTTTCTTCTTCCCTCTCTCTCTCTCTCTCACGCGTTTCCTTTCTTTTTTCTTTTTAGTTTCTGTGTTCTTTTGCTTTTTAAAATTGTTGATCTAATGCCTTGGGGAAAATTACAAGAACTGGCCCAACATTTTTATTATAGCACAAAAGCCCAGGTTAACTTTGGTAATTTTTTTCATAATTAAAAATCAAATAAAACTAAACTTTTGCTGAGAAAAATTTAAATTCTAGATCTCTATTAAATATTCTAAATTTTAATTTAATTATAGATATTTTATTTTATTTTTTTTAAAATAATTTCGAGTCTTAAAATTTTTAGGATGTTACATCTATTATGTTACTATTGTCCAAATTACAATCTAAATATAACCATATTATTGAATTTGATATTTTTCTATTTTTATATTGTACTAAAGGTGTTGGTACAAATTCATTATTTTTTGGCATATTAAATGTAACTTGAAAAGGTATATTATTACAATCTATTTTATTTGGTTTTATAAAATCTGTTTCATAATATATTTCTCTCTCATCTGGTTCTAACATTCTGTCATCTCTTGATTCTTTTGATATTCTACTTGATTCTACATTTTTATTATTATATGATGGATCATCTAAATTTGGTGGTCTAAGTCTTGAGGCATTCCATAGGGTTGTTGTTCATGAATTTTTAATTGTGAATTTTGCATATTTATAAAAGCTTCATCATAATTATTGTTTATCAAATGTTTATATCTTGTTTTATTTTTTTCTAATTCTTTCTTTTCTTCATTTTCTTCATTTTTTCAATAATTTTTTGTAATTCTATTTCTAATTCTTCTGATTGGCTTTCTATTTCATCTATTGCTTTGGCCATATTTATATTCACATTTGGTTATGGTTTTTGTTGTATTTTCTTTCTAGGTTATAGTTATAATTTCCTAACATTATTTCTACAGCTCTCTTGGCATTTTCACATTCTTCTTCATCTATTTCATTTTCTCCTCTTAATTCTCTTTCTATGTCTATTTCTAGTTTTGTTTTATTTCTTTTTCTTTTCTTTTTGCATAATTTGTTTAATTTTCTCTATCAAATATTTCTAATTCTAATTTTTCTATTTGTGCATGTGTAAATCATATATTATTGTTCATTATTTCTTGTCCTTTTCTTACTTTTTAGTCTCTATTCTTGTTTGTTTTTATATTTTCGAGCATATCTTGTCTTTTTATTTTTTTCTTCAGTCATATAATCATCTTCAACTATCTCATCATATTTAGTTGTAACCATTCTTCTTCTATTTTATTATGAGAATTTATTCCTAAATATTCTATTATTCTATAAATATTATGACTTATCATACTTTATTCAGTTCTTAATCTTTCTGTATCAAGTTTTATTTCATCTAATTTTTCATTACAATCTTTCCTTATTTCATATATTTTTTTGTTCTAATGGTTTAGCATATTCTTTAAGTTTTTTTTTTCTCTGGGATTTTCTTTTTCTAACAATATTTGTACTTCTTCTGGTAGCATTTTTATTATTTCTTTTTCATTAAATAAATGTTCTAAATCACCTATATTTTTATTTATATAACAACCTAATTGTTTCATTAAAAACATATTTGTCCAATTTGCTTGATTGCTTATACTATCTCCTTCTCCTCCTAATAAAAAAAGTATAAAATACATGACAGGTTTTCTACTGGTATATAAGAACTTTTTGGGATTTTATTTTGTTCTACTTCATACATTTTTTGTTCAATTATTTTTATTATATTCATTGTGGAATTCTTTCTAATGTTTCTATAATTGCAAAATAAATACTTAGGAATATATATTAATTTTATATATTATATACATATACATATATATAATATCAACACACATATAAATAATATATATATATATATATTCAAAATATATATATAATTATATTTGAATTTTATATTTCATATAAATATATACATATATATAATATTTATCAATAAATATTCAAATATATATATATATATATATATTCATTCATTCACCCTATATTACATTCATTGAATTTAGACATATTTCAAATTCAATGAACTTAGATATTATAGCTTGAGTTAGGCTATTCTTGTGTGTGTAATCCTATAGGCCCATATGAAATTGGCAATAAGTTAATTTCACTATTAGCCCACAAGTCACAAGCGGCCTCTAACAAGACATTGCAACTACCCAATTCATATGGGGATCGATGATCCAATGTAACCTATCATACAACCGTATCACATACCTTTTGTCACGCGATATTTCGGTCAAGTTTGAGATATGGAATAATTATTCTCCCTTTACCTAACCACTACTTGCTCGATCTCTGATGGACTAACTATAGTAATGGAAAAATATTTTCATTATAGTATGGCCATACATTTTCTCAGTTTTACTCATCGAAGGGCCAGTAATATCTCACACTTAATGTGAAGGACAAATTTCATCTTGATCACTCATATTCCTCTGCATGAATATCACTAAACTCAATCATAGCATCTATGATCACCCGGTCAAAGGTGACTTTTGACTAGGTCAAAGTTCAATGGTCATCATGAAGGAATCCATAATGATCTCAAGTCAAAGGGCTTAGTGATATAGTTACATATAAGATAAGCTTATGACTTGTACCCTACAGCTTTTTCATAGCGATTTGGTCCAGCACCTTGTGCTCTTTCAAGTGCCCATAACTTTGATTTATATCTCTATAATTAATTAAAGTCATACTAGTCTTGTTTTATCTATGATTCCTCATAGATAACTGACCAGGGCAATTTAGGACAATCACTATAGTTTGTCCAAGGACATAGTTATTATTATTAAATATACAATTGATATGATAACAAAAGAGAAATTCATTAAATAACAATGTGCATAGTACAATGATTGGCCTTAGGGCACAATTTCTAACACAATATTCTTTTCCAAAGCACTATTCTCAGTTTTAAGAGACAAATTTTCTTTTTCAAAAATAGAAAGTCTCTTTTTCACTTGTAAAATATTTTTCATAAGAAGAAAAGATTCATTATGTAGTTCTTCAAAAGAAATTTTTAGCTCTTCAAATGTGAAATCAAATTCAGAGTCAGAGTCTGAATTGTTTACCTGATCTAAATAACTTTTAGCCATCAAGCACAAATTTGCTTCTTCTTCTTCTGTGGAATCCTTATCACTATCTCCCTAGATTGAAGAAAGATAAGCCTTGAATTTCCTATTGTCATACTTGTAACTTTTACTCTCTTGCTTCAAAAGACAATCAGCCTTAATATGTCCAGGCTTCTTACGTTTGTAGTAGATTATCTCTTTTTTTTTCTTCTTTGAGAATTTCTTCCTAAACTTTTTCTTTCAAAGAATCTGCCAAATTTCTTAACAAATATAGCTATTTCTTTATTAGAGTCGTCACTGTCACTTGCTTCAGACTCAAATTCCTATTTTGGCTAGTGACTTCTTTTTATCAGCATCTTCCTTCAACATGGACAGCCTTCTTTCATGCTCTCGGCAAGACTTCCAAATAGAGCTGCCACGGACCTCATGGAATCACTTTTTACTTCCTCAATGGTAGTAATTTTAGGTTGCCATTCAGCTAGAAGCCTCTCATAATTTTTTTGACTTGCTCTTTCTGAGTATAAGTTTTTTCCAAGTGCCACAAGCTTGTTCATCATGTGAGTATATTCGACTTGCATGTCCTTGATGCTTTCTCTAGGCTTCATCTTAAATAACTCATATTGTTGAGTCAAGGTGCTCATTTTATTTTCCTTAACTCCTTCAGTACCTTCATAAGCAATCTCAAATTACTAAAGCAATCTCCCTTTATGTTTCTAAAGCATCCCATATCTCTTTTGCAGTCTCTAGATTACTTACTCTGAAATATTCTTATTGACTTCAGGCACTTGTAATAATCAGCTTTGCCTTTGAGTTAAGCAGCACAATTTTTTCTTCCTTTTTAGTAAATTCACTCCTCTCTTTTCTTATAAGTTGTCCTTCAACAGTTTTGTTTGGAATATAGGGACCATTTTTCGACAACCTCTTATAAATCAAGGTCTAAGGCCTAAAACAAATCTCATCTTACTTTTCCAGAAAGTATAGTTTTCGCCATTGAATCTAAGAGACCAATTAATTTCAACACCTTTAAGGAGAACACTGTCACCAAAACAAATCATAGGATCCTCTTAGACTATTAAGTATTTTATCAAGAGTCTAAGCTCTGACACTAAATGTTAGGATAGGCTAGCACCTAAGAGGAGGTGAATTGGGTGACACTTAAAATTTTTTAAAACTGAAAAAGTGAAGAGTTAAAGAGTGAAGGAAGAAGATGACACACTCAAGATTTATACTGGTTCAGCCACAAACTTAGCCTATATCCAGTCCTCAAGATTTCACTTGAGATTTTCAACTAAAACACAAGCTTTCAATGGGTGCTTGCCACCACAATACAACTCTCAAGGCTAACTTTATCTTGAATCACTTAACACACCTTGCTACAATCCAACAACTTGTTACAATACTTGAAAAATCTTTTTCAAGATTTTTGAGATGATGACAGAAGATTTTTACAGTAAACTCTCTAAAAGAGTAGATGTGAATACAAATGAAAGCTTATAAAACTTTAAGAGCTTTTCACAATTCTTTTCAAGAATAATGAATGAATGCAATATATAAAATCACAATTTGAAAGCTCTTTTAATGCACAAATAATATTATGCTCACTCAAAGATCATTAGTCTCTATTCTTATTCAAAATGAATCACTTATATAGTTTTTGAAAGTTGACAGACTGTTACAATAGTGATTCTACCCATTGGTGCATTTTCTTGTAAGTGACTGGCATAATCATACATGTTTTTGCACTAAGAAAGTTTCACAAAACTGAATGTGACAAATCATGCATGAACATCTTGTCCTCTCATACCTAGTTTTGCACTTCTGAAAGATCATTCAGTTCTATGTGCTTAATCACGCATAGTACCATGTCACTCTCTCACATGGTTTTACACTATCATCAATTGTCTGTGTGATAAAACATGCATGGAACCTTTACATTC